CCTGTTGAGGACGAGGACGTCCTTTACCTGCGCACTTGACCCCCGCCTTAATTTTCGCCAAACCGCTCCCACCTGCCCTCCCCCCACGCCTGGACGACACCAGCGGAGGCCGTCGGACCGAGGCGATATCTGCGCCTTGGGTCATCGTCACTCTCACAGATGTCGTTCCAGTCTCACCCCGAGAGGTGGAGTGCTGGGAGGAATGGATTTGGGGCGGTTCGGGCTCCATTGCCACGTCAGAGCCTCTCCTGACTTTAAAAAAGTTCCGTAGAGTCTCTGCCGATGGGTCGTCTAGAGAAAAGGTTACTAAGAACCCATTCTCCTCGTCCCTACGGTGGAGGATTCTCCAGAGCTCAGTATGGAGCCCTTCATTTTGTGCCCTCAACAGCACAACCGCCTCCTCTGGAGTCAGCTTCGCTGTGGGGCAAGTAGGTAATGCCCAGCTGAGGCTTAGGCAGTCCGCCCTCGGGTATTACCGAGAGCTCTGCCTCCGGCCAGAGTTTTAGTTTTCCGATTTCACCCACAATCCAGTCCTGGCTTGCCTTATTCAGGCACGTTACCAGAATCCAACCTGGCTTGTGCGTGAAACCCGAAAATTTTGGACCCATTCCCGGTTTCAACCCACAGGCCGTCCTAGCGATGGCCTGTGTTAGTGCCCGGTGGACCAGCCGCATCTGCTCCACACTCATAGGATTCGAATTGCAAATTCCTATATGCGCGGAGCCAGCTACGGCGCTGAAGCTGAGCTTCTTTTCCCCCGTTGCCCGCTTCACAGACTTCCTGGGCTGGTCTTTGAAGGACTCTTCCTCAGACCGACTGCGTTTTTCGCCTTCGGAATTGGGGGAGGCTTGGGCAGAGAAATTTCGTCCCAGAGCTTCTGGCAGAGAGAGAGAGGGCCTCTTCGGCTCCTATCTCAGCTGCTATCAGCCTTTGGTACCTTTTCCTTGCTGCCCCACTAAGCTTATAAGGCCTAGTGAACTTTTTCTTTTCCCCTCCCTGGTTCGCTTCCAATTGTGGTTCGGCTACAGACGTGCCCTCCACTTCACGGCTCGTGTCAGGTTGGGGCGAAATGTTGCAGGATGTTGGTGAGGCTAAAAGTGCCTCTTCCAAACCTATAGCTAGTTCCATTAAAGGAGATTTTTCTGTATCTTTCAAAATGCTGGTTTTCATCCATTTTGTTCCCACGATTACCTAGGGAAATACTCGGTCACCCGCGGCAGAGCCCCGTATGCCGAGGGAAGGACTAAAATACTACCCGAATCGCCCTGGTCTTGGGTAGGCACCGTTTGCGACTGGACTCCCCCTCCCCCCCTCCAGCCACGCATCCATCGGCACGGTACGCTTGACACCTTGGATTGGATTAGGATAGGAAAAGGGGGTCATCATCATCATTACAGCCCTTCACAAATCCACTGCTGAACATAGGCCTCCCCCAAGCAACGCCACAAAGCACGGTCCTGAACCACCTGCATCCATCGACTTCCTGCATGTCTTACCAGGTCGTCACTCCATCTTGTGGGGGTCGCCCTACACTACGCCTACCGGTACGAGGCTGCCACTCGAGAACCTTTCTTCCCCATCGGTTATCGGTTCTTCGAGCTATATGGCCGGCCCATTGCCACTTCAGCTTACTAATCCGTTGGGCTATGTCGGTCACTCTGGTTTTACTGCGGATATCCTCATTTCTGAGTCTATCACGCAGAGAAACTCCGAGCATAGCCCTCTCCATAGCTCGCTGAGCGACCTTGAGCGTCCTCATACGGCCAGCAGTGAAGGACCACGTCTCACATCCGTAAGTCATCACTGGCAACACGCACTGGTTATACACTTTAGTTTTCAGAGATTGAGGTATACCTGACGAGAAGATGTGTCGTAATTTCCCGAACGATGCCCAGCCGAGTTGAATCCGTCGACTGACCTCTCGGTCGAAGTTGGACTTACCTAGTCGGATTATTTCTCCCAGGTAAACGTCAACAACTTCGAGCGTAGTGCTCCCAACAACTACCGGAATATGTGTGACATGGACATTAAACATGATCTTCGTTTTGTCCATATTCATCTTAAAACCTATCCGTTGGGAGACACAATTGAGGTCATTGAGCATAGTGCTAAAGGTCCTCCAGCGATTCTGCCATAAGTACTATATCGTCGGCAAATCGAAGGTGAGTGATGTACTCGCCATTGATGTTAATACCGTATCCTTTCCAGTCCAGTAGCTTGAAAACGTCTTCCAACGCAGCGGTGAAGAGTTTCGGGGATATAACATCACCCTGTCTTACATCTCTCTGCAGTTGGATAGGTTTCGAACTCTGGTTCTGTACTCGGATAGCCATCGTAGCCCTACTGTACAAACACTTCAGCACTTCGATATACCGAGAGTGAACTTGGCACCGCTGAAGGGACTGCAGTACCGCCCAAATTTCGACGGAATCAAAGGCTTTCTCATAGTCCACATATGCCAGGCAAAGTGGCAGATTGTACTCTTCGGTCTTCTGTACAATCTGCCGCAGGGTATGTATGTGGTCTATGGTACTGAAGCCTATTCGGAAACCGGCTTGTTCGGGAAGCTGGAAGTCGTCGAGTCTGCGTGCGAGACGATCCGTAATGACTCTCGAAAATAGCATGTAGACGCGGCTCAGAAGGGAAATCGGTCTGTAGTTCTTCAAGAGAGCGTTGTCGCCTTTCTTAAAGAACAAGACCACCGCGCTTCTGCTCCATGCCTCCGGAGTAGTGCCACCATGGAGGACGGAATTGAAGAGCTTCTGAAGGACTTCAAGCACTGGTGTTCCACCCGCTTTCAGAAGCTCCGCTGTAATTTCATCCTCGCCCGGGGCCTTGCCGTTTTTAAGGTGGTGGAGAGCCATTCTAATCTCGCTCAGACTGACGTCCGGGATATGACTTGCTCTTGGATCGTTACTCACATTTGCGTGTGGCTCCAACGATGATGTGTACCTACAGCTGCCCATAGAACCTCTCAATCTCACTCAAAATCTCAAGTGTCCCGGAAACGATGCTGCCACACTCAGTCTTCAGCTTTGACAGTTGGCTCTTTCTGGCAGACAGATCTCTGGCAAAGACTTTGGAGCCCTGGTTCCGCTCGATCGCTTCTTTAATTGCGTATGTCTCGCCGCATGCATTTGGAGATATGTCTGTTCAGTTGCCTGTATGCCGGTGACTCATCTCCCGTCTAACAGCCATGAGATTAAGAGTGTGATCGGAGAGTTTTTGTGTTCTTCTGCGGCGGGTCTAGCAGAACTTAGCTCCGACCGCATGGACAGTTTCCACGAGGTTGTCATTCATATCGTCCACTTCATTGCAATCTTCTAGGCACTGAAAGCGGTTACGTAACTCGAGCTGAAAGGTTTCGGGATTCTGGATCAGAGCACGAGGGGGACGGAGCGTTGACTTCATTAGACGAGACCTCTCCAACTTAACGTTTAGGTTCAGTGTACTTCTAACCATTCGGTGATCGCTGCCAGTTTTCACCCTTGCGATCACTGAGACATCACTGAACTGTTGAACATGAGCGTTTGGTCGTCATAATGAAGTCAATCTCATTTTTTGTCGAACCGTCGGGGCTCGACCAGGTCCACTTCCTGTGGAGCCGCTTCTGGAAGAAAGAGTTCATCATAAAGAGTCCATCTTTCTCCATAAAGTCGGCCAGCCGCTGGCCCCTTCGGTTCCGTTGCCCTACTCCAAATTTCCCTACCTTCAGCTCACCGCTTTCTCTTGTGCCTAGTTTTGCGTTGAAGTCTCCCATCAACACCGTGTAGTGGGTTTTGGAGGAATGCATGGCTCTGGAAATATCCTCATACATTTCCTCCGCCTCCTCATCGGGATGTGCCGAGGTTGGTGCGTAAACCTGTATGACCTTCAGCGAATACCGTTTGGTGATTTTGAGTATCAGGTACGCGACCCTCGTAGACACACTCCTAATCTTTACAACGCTGTTGACGAGAGACTTGTGGACGATAAATCCGATACCTCCTTGGGACACATGGTCGCCCTCCCTGTGATAGAACAAGTTGCCGGACTCGAGGATTGTCGTGTCCTCCCCCTCTCTCCGGACCTCGGATAATCCAATAATATGCCAGCGCAACTTGTCTACCTCTTCTTCCAGCTCCAGTATCTTTTCGTCAATCCTCAGGGTGCGTGCGTTATATGTTGCCAGGTCGAGTCATCGTAGGTCAGTGGGTAAGAAAAGGGGGTGGGATAAAAGAAAAGAAAAAGTGGATTGTCCGAGTATTTCTGTTCTGTCTGTTTCCTATTGAACCAGACCAAATAACAGGCGGCAACCACGTGAAGGAGAACTCCTCAGACTTGCCCTGGGGATCAACACGAGCTCCCCAACCTGTGCTCTCCCCCCCGAGCCATACGCCAAACCCTTACATCATTTATAATTTCAAATATGGTTATATATAGAGGCGTGTACCTAAAGAAAATACCAGTTCTATTTTAAATTATTCACAGTACTAAGAACTTATATAAAAACTAAAAATATTCGGCCACATTACAGGACTCGAACCCGCACACTCCGGCAAAACTACGCTATAATTGGAAGATTGTTACGAGGGTGATCTCTACGGCGAAACAACCAATTAATTATATTGCGCGGGAACATTAAGATTAATGTCTCATGTGCAAAATCACGGCTTAGATCGATTTTTCGGCCCTGTAAACCCCTATAAATTTCATCGAAATCGTTAAAGCCGTTTTCGAGAACAAGATCACAAAATAAAAAGAAAAAAATTGCTCGTATAATAGAATAGGATATCTGTCAAAACATTAATAAAATAAAAACCTTCAAAATTGTAAAAAATATTTATTACTTATCTCTCTCTCTCTCTCTCTCTCTCTCTCACACACTCTTCTTCCTATATTAATGCATTTTCTCTATTTACACCGGGAACATTTTACTATTTTTAATTTAATTATAATCTAATATATAATCATAAGTTAATTATAATCTAATTAAAACAGAAACGGTTATATGCTGAAAATCATCTAGCAGTGAATTTCGTAACACCGCCTTCACAATGCTCAATAACTCCTCTGCCTTTGAAACATGTCAGCCAAGTTTTAGAGAACAATTTAAAGCTTTCCCTTTCGTCGTCGGATTTTAATACTGGTGTAACATTTATTTCAGGAATGCACCTTCCAAAGTCAATAGCTGGGAGCCATACTTGAAAGTCGGAATCTGGTGAAAATTTAAATATGTCATGACAGCCTTCCAAGTTTATCTGTGGCACAGGCGGCTGCCGTTGTAGTAGTTTCTTTAATGTGATGAATGTTAACATATTTTCTTTGAGAGCCAATGATTGCAAATGCTTCACCCGACTGAGACTCCTGAAAGAACACAATTGTTTAATTACTCTACTGTTTTATGTGGTGTGGGTATATTTATGAAAATATACCCACACCATTACTATATTATACCCCCACTTTTTGGTAAAGAGGTATAATTTTTTTATAGAATACGAGAGACAAACGAGCACACAGTCCACCTGATGGTAAGTGAATGCTGTGGCCCAGACATCTATATTTATCCTCGATTAAGAAGCAAAACGCATATGCGTTGTCACCCCTGAGTACTAAGATATAATGCATCGTGTGTTTCCTGTAAAAAGGGTCTCCGTTTTTCTACACTCACCATATGAAACATAGCAGCATTACACTATTATTTTACGCTGGTATTCTGTGAGAACGTGGTCCTTCCCCGGTCGAGCCGACCCATTCGTGCTACATCTATACTACTAATATAACTGCAGCATGGCTCTACCACATATAATATAATATGTACCATGGAGGTTAGAGAACAGGAGAACGATCGCCGTAGAAAATAGTGTCCCAGAAATATGGACACCATAAGTGAGGCGCCGTGATCGCTAAGTTTGCTCAATAAAAGTCATTTTCAGTCTATTTTTCCGATCAGATGCTAAACCACTTGCACATCCACGTACAATAAAATATTTCTCAATTTTTTAATGTTTCTTTCGTCAAAAAATAAAATATTACGGAACATGAAAATTTTCTCACAAATGCCGCGAAGAAAATTTGTACATTATTCAACTAACTTCACCTACTTGTACTCATAAATAGCTAACTTCGCAGCCACTACTCACCGACTACAGCGCCGCTATAAATTCTACTATTTTCAAGGACAAACGGGCTATGCTTTAGTACGTAGTGATCGTTCTCCTGTAACCTTCATGATATGTACTGTGACTATTAATACGCATGCTAAGCATGGTGATTATGGTGATTTCTCATTTTTTAAATTCAGTTCAAATACAAACACTGCATCAGTAGCTTTGCTTGAAATTGGTAGCAGTTGTGTATGGGTTTAAATAAGCACTTTCTGACTCATGCTCTTTCTGACTGCTGCTAAGCATTGAACTCTCCTGTAGAATGCATCATAGAGGCAATTTTGCCATAGTTACCATGTTTGTCATGTAGGTTAGCAATCAGTCTTTTTACAGTTCTTTTATATAGAATAAGGGTATCAAACGAGCACACTTTCCACATGATGGTAAGTGGATGCTGTGACCCATAAACATCTACATTTATCCTCGATTAAGAATCGAAACGCAGATGCGTTGTCACCCCTGAGGACTAAGATGGAATGCCTCGTTTCCAGTAAAAAATGGGTCTCCGGATCTCTACACTCACCATACGAAACACAGCAGCGTGGCTCTACCACGTATAAAAATCTTATCGTTATCAGAAGGATGGTATCACACACATCTTATTCAGTTTCCCTTACCATCAGGTAAACTTTTAACATGTTTGTATTATAATATTTAAAAAAAAGCTCTAATTACACTAATCTTTTTTAATAATAGGATTTTGGTTAACCTCGAGTTTGTAAAACATTTCAGAAACTTATTTATATAGTCTATAATTTTTTAGCAAGACAATAACAGATTTAAAATATTACTTACCTAAAAATCCTCATAAATTGCCCATCGACTAGTTTACAATTTGATAAACCAAATCTTCTTAGCTTCAATTCTTTGGCTGAATCCATAAACATTGCGATGCATCCCGCTACATTGCCCTCCACACCAATGTTGTCTAATTCCAAATCTATTATGTGATTTGGACTTAAAGAAGTCATGAGAAAGCTCACCATTACCTGTTTTAGGTCATTATTGCTTAAATCAATTGATTCTATATCATCGAAGTTTATTTTCAAATTATTAGCATCACTCACACTATTGTGAGTTATTCTGCAACTATTTAATTTTAACGTCTTTAACTTAATATATTGAGTAATTTTGATTATACACTTAAATCCTTCATCTCCTATTGGATTTCCACTTAGGATCAATTCTTCTAAAGCTTGGCAAATAGGGCGAGTTGATTTTTCAAATACATTTAAAAATATTTTCATTCCCTCATTAGTGATATTGTTGGAAGTGACATCCAAATGTGACAAATGTTTCATAGTGCAGATTGTATCAGTTAAATACTTCATACCATCGTCGCCTAGATTATTGTTGGCTATCATTATAGCAGTTATATGAGTTTGGTGTGTAAGAGCCCTAAATAAAGGTCGTATTTGAGACGAGAACAGAGTGTTTGCACCTAGTGCAAGTCTACGCGTTGTGTGACTTCTGCCGACGGCTTGTTGAATTTCTTGTGATGGGGCTGGAAAAATAAAAAAATATACTATAATTGTGATAAATTTAAATATTAATAAAATGGAATCGATGAATTTAAAAGTCTATCCAGCGTATTATGGTCCATTAGTGCAACATCAAACATAAATCACACTATTGATATAGACAAAGAAACTCTAATTTAGTTGAGTCTTTACTTTGATGTATCTGTTGCAATGTATATTGTGTGTAGTTAAATAAGCGGTCTAAATAGTGATATAAAAGTAATGTAGAAATAAAAAATCCAAGTTTTGCTTGGATCTTTATCGCAATGTTATTGGATATTTTATCATCATCATCATCATTATAGCTCTTTAAAAAGTTCGCTGTTGTACATAAGCCTTCCCTAAGGAATGCCACAAAGCATGGTTCTGAATCAACTGCATCCATTGATTTTTCCCTCTTAACAGGTCCCACTCCATTTAGTGGAGAGCCCTAAGCTCTCTTACCTCACTTTGTCGCTTATATTTTCTATGAACATCATAATCTAGCATCCATTTAAAATGTTAGTCTAAAAAAAAGAACTTGTATAAAACACTGGGATTATGTTTTCATATATTTACACGAACACTACATATTGAATAAAAACACTTTTATGGATTTTTATCACGTTTAATTCTACTTATTGTTAATTTCCGAATTGTCAACGGTTATCAACGGTCATGATCACGGGGACTGAGGTGATTGATGTCCCGATGTCAAAAATTAAAAATAAGTTAGAATTAAACGCGATAAAATCCATAAAAGTATTTTTCTTTAATATAATGTTATTGTATAATACGGCTGCAAAATTTCCGAATACGCGAACGCGCAGAATTTTGGTGAAAATTAATTTATAAAAATTGTTACGATCAAAGATACATACAGGTCAAACTAACAAAAGTGTGTTAGAAACCTGACACCGAAAGTGTTTCTAAATGGAATACACAGCGAATTTATAAAATGGCAGTACTAGCTGAAATGTTCTCAAATATTGCGATTGGCAGTAGAATGTAATATGGGCTATACTACACTATAATACGAAAATTACCAGTCAGATTAGCAGATTATATTACCACCGCGTACCTCAGTACCTTCCATCTTTATTCAGGGGAGTAGAAAGAGATAGATAGATAGGACATTTTACACCAGTTCCCATTTGCCACATTGCATATTGTTTGCAATTTAGACTGGAAAATAACTGGAAAGTGATCAATGTGTGCGAGAGATTTTTAGTACAAACTTTATTATTACTTAAACTTTTATTAAACATATCGTACAAGTATATAAAACTTACCTAACCCCAAGGCCTCACAACATTCTAAATATCTCTCTTCAGCTGGTGATGCCCTCCAAGTGCTTATACAAGTCTTAAGCTCAGGCGATGTTAATACCAAGCTGAGAGGGTCGTCTTCCGAAAGTATTGCGCCATCAGACGTCATAAGGCTGAACACTGGTCGAACACCTGTTAACCTAAGTGCAAAAAAAATTAAAATTACTATTCATTTGAACCTCAAGATATTATTATTTAGAATAAAAAAATTAAAGAATACCACGGCAAAATAAGACATTGTGTTAATGTCATTATGCAACAGCTTACAGAGTATATTCCGGCAATGTTGCTACAATAGCATCACTGAACAATTAACAAAAAAAACTATTAAGTAAGATTAAGTAAAATGGCAATCACCGAGGCTATTGACTTTGATACAGTATTTATTGTGATGTGTTATCGTTAAAACCTAAAAGGGGAAAATGAAAGACCCTAGCTTCAACATCCCACACTTCGCGATGCAAATGGATTTCGTTTATAAAGTTTATAATATTTCCATTTCACCATGCTGTTATGATGATGAAACAAATCGAATAATAATTAAGTATCAGAATTAAAAAAAACTTTTTGGCTATAGCCTCGGATTGCGCTGGGGTCTAAGCTATGGGATTCAATATGAAAGTGCATACAGGAGAGATATGACATAAATATTGTCCGGCAAAGTTGCAATAATTATTGAAGCAGGCTAAATTACTTGCAATCCAGTCTGGTATATTACATCAAACTATGGCTGCATACAAACTATAACCGCTACAATGCTCAGCTATATTACGAGATTGTGGCAAGTTTTACACTGTGTTGTGCCATAAAGACTGCTACTTGACAACTATAAAACTGAAGCAAAAAAATGCCAACAAAACTAGCCCATTAGGAACGCATGTACAAGAGAAATTCCTAGAGTGGGGGGTTATATTTTATATAAATAAAAACTAAAACTAAAATAGTAGTTTTTGCCTTACTTGTAATATCTCAATTTAACTTCTTCAACCAGCCAGCTGATTGAAAGCTTGTTTATTGTGTCTAATTTTAGGGGGATCAGAAATACTTTATCTTCAACATGAACCTTTACCGCTGCAGGTGGTAATATTTGTGTCTGCATAGCTCTCCCATTTTTCGATTGTACAATATTAATAGGTTGCATAACATTTAATGGTTGAAGGATATTTGGATTCACACTTTGAACCATATTAAAATTATCGTTAATGTTATTTTTAAAATTTTCCCCAGAAGAATTCCTTGAAAATTTACCAGATGGTGTTGAATGTCTCACATTTCTAGAAACAAATTCATTGTCACTTCCACTGTTACTAGATTGGTCAAACTCGTCTTTTTTCCTCTGAAATCCAGCCTTTAATAATGTGATCTGCCTTTTCCATCGTCTTTTCATACTATCTCTGCTATCTCTAGATTTTGATTCATTTAATTCGCGAGTAATATTTTTCATAGATTCAATTGCTTGATTCATTGGACATATATTTTCGTTTCTTTGAAAATTGTCATATTCTGAACTGTTATCGCTAATGTCGACAACGTCACTGACTCGCGATTTCTTCTGTCTTAAACTGTCATTAATGTTGTTATCCACAAGTGGTTGAATTTTGTTAATATTTTCAATGCTTTCTTTAACACTGTCAATAGGATTTTTCTTAGGAGCTACAGTAAATGGATCACTGAGTTTTCTTTTCTTGGACTTGTTATTTATGCCGATGTCATCGTCTAACCAGTCGTCGTCAACTTCATTTGGATCTAGGAGAGCCGGTTTTGGTTTTGTTTTCTTGACATCAACTTCAGGAAAGTCTACAATTCTATTTCTCAAAGCCGATATTGCGCTCCTATACTCTAGAACTCCCATACTTTTATTTTTATTCGTTTTCGGTACACAATCATCAGAAGAATCATTGGAGTCATCGGATGGAAAAGCAGTTTGATTTCTAACATTTTGAGATAGATTTATTTCTTCGTCACTGTCATCGTCAATGATATTCCTTCTTTTAAACACTGGTGAATGCAATTCCTTAATTCTACTGGTCATTTTCGATGTACTTGGTGGAGTTGTATCTTTTATTGGTTTAACTGGTGTTTTAGATTTAGATCTATTTAATGTTATGTCTGACCCAGCAGTTTTATCGATAAAATTATGTATTTTATTGCATATATTATTGTATAACACTTCTTCATCTCTTGTTAGAATAGTTCCAGCGCGCCACTTTTGCAGAACGTTTAACGGAGTCTCTCCGAAATCCGTTTTGAGTGAAGGTATGGCGCCCTTGTCAAGTAATAATTGCACAACTTCCAAGTGTCCATTGCTAGCAGCGTCATATAACGGTGTTATGCCTAGAATAGTTAAGAATAAGTATTTTTATATTAGCTCTTTCTAACAAACACACTGGATTTCAAAACTAATATTAACAGAGATATTCAGTAGGGTGTTTTGACTATGGTGTAGTAAAGTGTTAAAAAAATCTACGTAAATTTCTAATCGAGCTTCACTTAACATTGAAATACCTAATGTTGAATTTTATGCCTTCTTTTATTCAAAAATTGTTATATTAACGTGTTTCATAGTTAAATTAAAAAAAATGTATAGCCCGTACGGATAAAGAATGGGATTTTATATGGCGGCTCATCCAGCCCGTACAGTCAACATGCACAATAAAAATAACGAAAACCCTTAGCGGGTTTTTTTAACGATATACAGTTTTAAAAGTATAATAATTAAAACGTTGGGTATATTATTCGGTTAGTTGGAAATTTTCTATTAATGGGAAAATATTTTAATAGAATTATATACATTGATATTAAAATAACATTTATAACCAGTGACCTACACTGGCTTCGCTTTGATAAAATTGAATTACATATTTATAAGATAAGTAAATTATTTAGGAAGACTGAAATATAACAATGTATGTGCCTTAAATTAAGTTTATATTAATTTAAATAATAGTCAAGAAAATATGTATTTCAAATAGGACAGACAGGCAAGAAACACCATAGACATATTTTTTACATAATATAATAATCTTTGGAAAATTAAATCTTTTTTTACTTGAACCTTCAACAGAATCATCTGAGAACACTTTGATTCCGGATATATCATCGTTATCTTAATAATCATTGTTAGAATCGGAGCAGCTATCGCTTTCACAATCGTTGTTCATTCACGATGCTATTTGGAAGTATGTTTGGGATTAAATTTTCGTCAATATAATTAGTAAAATTTTGCCTATTCATTTCATCCTGGTAATCGCCTTTTTTGGTTTTGGCCTTAAAAATCACCTCGGCACCTTTCAATTATCCATCTCCTTGGGTTCCGTGCCACCAAGTCTGTCACTGTTTATCTTGTTTTCATTATTTGTTACTTAAGTATAGAGTATATAGTACTATTAAAATGATAATTAGAAAAAAAATAGATAGATTCAATGATGGTATTACCATTTTTAAGATACAAGAAGAACAACAAAAAATTGCTGGAAAATTCTTTTTTTTACGAGATCTTACATAAAGATTCACTTGGGCTTTAACATTTTATTCGTTACATTATCCGTCATTAGTGACCATTATAGTTATTAATGATAAAAAATACAGCCCTGTGACAAAGAGACAGATAGACTTAGTAATAGGGTTCCGTTGAGCACTCCGCCGAGTAGTGTAGGTGTAAGAATATCTACTAACCTATATCACCACGTGGGTGTCGTAAGAGGCGATAGAGGGAAACAAGTCAAGGGATGGGCAGCAGAACAGAATCTTCCTAATAACGACTAAAAATAAAAATACTGCGGTTGCAAACCCGTTTGCGAAGCGTGGCATCTATGGCTAAAATCCCCCTTATGAGCCAATCTATGGGGGACGCTTATTCAGTAGTAGACTTTAATAGGATGCAACGGTTCGAAACGGGGCACACTTTGGGTACCTAGCCTAAGAACGGACAACGCTTGAAATAACGAATATAGAATAGCGAATACAATATTTTTGTTCAAATCATGATTAAAACTACTTTTACGGATTTTGTCGCGTTTATTTTTATTTTTTACTTTTTATTTTTTAATTCCCGACGTAAAAGTAGTTTTAATCATGTGCAATGTTCGCGTAAATATAAGAAATCATTTGTTCAAATCATCAATTATAAACAAACATATAGCTACTAGATAACCTTGGTACACGCCATCTTTTTTAACTGACAATCCTGTTGCAATATCCGCCCTTGGATTACCATACTGCAATGGGTGATAAGTGATAACCTTTAGATTTTACTCTTTCTCAAAATACTTTTTTGAGAAAGGAAAATCTGGCACTATGCACGATGTAGCACTATGTAGAAATTTCCCGCGTTTATGGTCCGCTGTTAACAGAATGTAGATAAAATAATAAAATAAAAACACTAATAGTCAACAAAAACGAAATAACTAACAACGGTTTACAATAAATAATAATCAAAAGCAATAACAGCGACTCAAAAAAAGTATTAACAAAATCAACAATACTGAATTTTGTAAAAAAAAAAAAACTCAGAGAACGCGTCTAGATAACAAATTTTCGAAACCGGGATATTTTATTTTAAATTTATGGCATTTTGTTACCATTTATGCCAATGACAAATGGGACTGAAGTTATAGCACGGTCAAGGGGGTTTATCTGAAGCACCCCCACTCGATTTTTGCTGCCAGAGCAGCGTCGAAGTATTTTTAATTATATTTTAAAAATATTGGTAACTGACTAATTAATTACATTTTTGACGTTTCATCTGTTAATGTCATATCGATATATAGTACTGAATCGATCTAGTGAATCGATATTTCACCCTAGAGAATCGAGATCGAATCTTTTTCTGTTTTATTAGATTTGTAAAATTATTTACAATTAGTTGAATGTACCCCAACTTGTAAAGAACGACAGTTTTTAATTCAATCATTCAATGTTATCTGTACTTTATTGTATCTTTTGATATTGTAAACATAAACTTTTAACGCAAATCAAAAAAAGATCGATTTTTGCGAAATCGATCTTTAAGATTTCAATTTTTTGTGAATCGATTCATCCAATTTCGATTTCAATCGATTTAAAAATGTGTAAAATTAATCGCTAGGCCGGCCATTAAGTTGACAGCGTTTCGTCATGTCGTTGCTTCCGATTTCCAGAATTTTGGTGAATAGTGGAATATTTGTGGCGGCGGAATACTGCTAAATATCGCAAAGATCCTTTCTTACAAATGGTGGCAGCCATAAATTATTTTTATAAATTAAAGTAGTTATAAAAGTAAATATTTTGGTGTTATATTGAGTGCAATATAACACCAAAATATTTTAATATATATATATATATAGTAATTCGAGTGAAGCGAGCCTGGGTTCGGTGAATAGTGGAATATTTGTGGCAGCGGAATACTGCTAAATATCGCAAAGATCCTTTCTTACAAATGGTGGCAGCCATAAATTATGTTTATAAATTAAAGTAGTTATAAAAGTAAATATTTTGGTGTTATATTGAGTGCAATATAACACCAAAATATTTTAATATATATAGTAATTCGAGCGAAGCGAGCCTGGGACACGTCCCAGTGGGGCACCCCGACTCAGACAGGTTAGGTTAGAAGGGGGTGACGGGGTCGAGTGAGCGAGCAAAGCGAGCGAAAAGACCCCGTCATCCCCTTGGTGGTTATTTTTTTATAAACCACTCAAAAGCAGGAGCCCCGCTTTGCGGGGCTCCGTCGACCGGGCTTCCCTCCACTGCACCACGTAAAGTGGCGTGGGGCTTTTGTCCCCCAACTCTCTCGCCCCATACATCAGGTTAAAATTGTCATAAAAATTACGAAACAACCTCAAAATGAGATTTTTAAAAATTTATAAAAAAAAAACTAAGCACTTCCCTGCCGGACGTGCTTTGTTTTTTTTTGTGAAGGGGAAGTAGGGGGTGACTCTACGACTCCTCCCCCCCACACCACCTCCCGACCCCTAATTTAGGCGACCGAATTGAAAACATTACCCTTATAGCACGTACGAAAAACACATCGCAACATTTTTTTTTGTAGTCTCTACCGGCGGGTGTAAGTATAGATAGCGACAGTGTACGAGCGAGAGATAAATAGAAGTGACGCCATTTTCAAGCCCATTCTTTAACCGCACGAGTACAATGAATAAATAAATAATGGTTTTTACAACATGTATGTGGAGAAATAAAGATTTAATATAGTGTCATCAAATAAAACATACCATCACAATATCTAATGTCATAATGTATGCCTTCTTTTATTCAAAAATTGCTCCATCAACATATTTCGTAGTTAAATTTTTTTAAAAAAACCTAGAATGTATGAATAAATTGATATTCAAGAAATCATGTACGTGTGTACAATGAATAAATAAATACTGGTGTATACAACATGTATGTGGATAAACATAGACTTAACAGTGTTGTATGCAGAGAAATAAAGATTTAATATCGTGTTATCAAATAAAACATACCATCACAATTAGCCCCTCCTCTGTCATTTACATTAGCACCATTATTAATTAATATATTAGCAACATCCAAGTGTCCATGTATGCAAGCCTCATGTAATGGTAGCCAACCGGCATTGTCTCGAACATTTACCGGGTGACCTTTAGCAAGTAGCCTCTCCACTAGAAGTTTGTTGCCGGATATGCATGCCTATAAATGTAGAATTAACAATTTATGTATTAATTTTGAGCGAGAATCTCTTATGGGCGGTCATGTCAAATACGGCCTAACCTAAAGATTTTAATAACCTACTTATACAACATTTTATATTGCAACAGTTTAGACCTTACTGTTGTGAAACGCCTTTGATGTCAAGCGATGCCGCCACCCGCGGAGGTATTTCCGCGGATATCGTGTATGCTAGGGGTTGTCACGAAAATGATTGTATCGTTTATTAACATATGTACAAAATATTAAGCTGGGTCCACATGCAGCGACTTATATCGACGGCGATTTCAAAATCGGCGTGTGAACGTGAAAATAAGCAGATATTTAAAGATGCTGCCGAAGTAGCGATCGAATTGCTGTAAATTTGAAAAGTCGCTAGTCGCCAGCTGAATCGCTAGTGTGGAGGTGGATGCGCATGCTTGCCGCGATTTAAAAATGACGGACCTACGTAAATATTAGCTATGTAGCTGTTAAACATTTGTGAGCTGTTATCGCTTTTATCATGCACGTATCCTGTTTTGTTAGCATTAGCTCCAACAGAGATAACAGCTGTCTGGAATATGGATACAAGAGTCCATTATAAATAATTTCTAAAATCGTAAAATTTACATCTTGATGGTCTTTAAAGTACCAATTTCTTCGCCCAACATCTTGTACTTTTCTTTTTTCTCTTTGTCATATATACAAACGACTTCTAGCGCTATTAACATTCCACGTCTTTTTAATGACATTATAAAGAATCGAGCACTAGCAAAACATGCAATAATATATAACATAACAGTGATAAACAGTATGTAACGTAATGTGGAGAAAATAAGGTATAAATCGCCAGAGAGTCGCCATCGATCAAATTCGCTGCATGTGGCTTAAGTTAAAAACGTTTGTTGTACAAGATCATTTTTTATTACTACAGGAAAAAACACATTTACAAGTGTTGCACTACCAAATATTTTCGTGACATTTTCTTTTTATAAAATTTTCTGATAAAAATGTTACAAAAAAAATTAAGGAAACATAAGCATGGCCGTCATTTGAATTCAATTTTAGTTAGTAAGTCATAGAATTATAACAGTAATTCACCATTATAGATATTATATTCGAAAACGCTACTTAGAATTGATTAAATAGGTACTACAAAACACGCTCGCATCAACCCTATGTATTGTACAGCAGACTTAGTAGAGTGCGCTGGCACAAAGTCGGCCCGCCCCCGAGCGCTGCTAGGCACTAGTACATTTGTTTACCAACTGTTACAACTCGTCTTTAAACTGTGATGTTGCTCGTATTTTGGCTCACCTTGGCTGGCTTCAGTTCCAAAATGAAGATCTTTTTTTTTCATTTCTTTTTGCGTATTTTTTGTCTGGCCTGCTAGCATAGCCTTAATTTTGTAAATGGCCCAATTGAAAATCAAATTTGATACCTACCTCCAAAATTAGAATTTTTAAGAGAATAAAATAATTGATTTCGTCCTTCTTATAAAATTAGTATTTAAATATTTAAAAAAAATGATTTCACTATAGATTTTTTCGTAATGTATTTTTAAAATTTTTAACATCCCCCTGTTCACCGATCCTAAATTAAGAAAACATCTATTGTTATAATTGCAATTAGGTCATCATTTATATTATCAATTAATAATTGTGTCTATTTTTAAAAAGAACTGTTAATATTATGACTAATATTAACTTATGAAAAAATAACAATAAATACTACTACTCACTTCCTCCAAGAAAGGTCACTTTTTTGGGAAGACCTATGTCCGGAAGTTCACTTACTAATAAAAATGTAAATACAAGACATGAAATAATAGGTACTTACAACATGCAGTTGTGTTTCGCCTTTCATATTCTTTTTGATTGTAAAGCCTTTCCCCCTTCTTCTCGTGTCTCTTTTACTTTCTGTTACATCTTCATCATTGGTGTCAGAGAGATCTAAATAGATATTATACAATGTTAGACATGGTAGTATTTTTTCAATTAAATTCTGCTCCCGCACAATTGCATCCACACAGTATCAGCAATGACCAATTTAACAAACAGGTAGTTCTTGGTGCAGACTATATTCAGCAGATTCAGGAGATTCTTTGCGTGATAGAATCCGTAACAAAATATCTACCTACAATAGATCTATAAAATAATGTCTACTTTTCGCGTTACACATTTGCATTGCTTTTCTTCAGTGGAGGCTTCTGTTTTGCAATGGACATGTGATCATCATTACAGCCTTTCACAAGTCCACTGCTGAACATAGGCCCTCCCCCAATGAATGCCATAAAGTACGGTCCTGAGCCACCTGCATCCATCGACTTCCTGCATGTCTTACCAGATTGTCACTAGTGGGGGTCGCCCTAAACTTCGCCGAGTGGTACGAAGCTGCGACTCGAGAACCTTTTTTCCCCATCGTTTTTTATTATAGAAAAAGGGGAAAAGAGCATACGGTTCTCCAGATGTTAAGTCACTACCGCCGCCCATGAACAACTGCAATACCAGGGGAATTGCATGTGCGTTGCCGGACTTTAAGAAAGGAGTAAGCTCTTTTCTTGAAGGTCCCTAGGTCGTATCGGTTCGGAAAAATCGTCGATGGTAAACTATTTCATAGAGAGGTGGTACTTGGAAGAAAGCTCCTAGTGAAACGTACAGCGGTGGACCGCCAAGCATCCAGATGGTGTGGATGGTATAGGGAGGTTTGCCGCGTAGTACGTTCATGAAATTTGGCGGCTGGGATTACTCCGAACAATTCCTCAGAGCATTCCCCGAGGTAGATGCGAAAGAAAATGCAAAGAGATACAATATCTCTTCGCAGCGCCAGTGAATCGAGCCGATCAGAAAGCACTCGGTCGTCGAAGATTCGCTGTGTGTTGGATGTGGTCAAGTAGAAAGAGCTGGCACTGGGGAGGCCCAGCCCAGAGATGGGAACAGTATTCCAAATGAGGCCGAACCTGCGCCTTGTAAAATTGCAGGCGGTGGGCCGGCATGAAATACTGTCCCTGAGCACGCCAAGCTTTTTAGAGACCAATTGGCCTTCTCTTCCAAGTGACTACGAAACTGCACGTCAGTCGATATGTCGACGCCGAGGATTCCGATATTGGCTTAGGCAACAAGGGGAGTGCCTTGAAAACGTGGACATACGACAAAGAGGTTTTTTTTAGAGGTAAACGCGCAAACTTGCGTGTTCTGAGGATTAAACTGGACTATATTTAGTCGCCAGCAATCCGAAACTTTCTTCAGAAATGACTCGACTTCAGACACAAGTTTGTCCCGGTACTCGGAGACGTTTTCCCAAGAAATATTGGCACGGCCGGTGTACAGAGAATGTTACCGGTTTGCAACAAATCATTGATATGCAGAAAAAACAGCGTTGGTGATAGCACGCAGCCTTGTGGAACGCCAGCATTAATAGGCTTGAAATCGGAGCATGCACCGTCTACAACAAACTTGATGCTACGATCTGCAAGAAAGCTGGTGATACAATTGCATAATTTCTCGGGAAGCCCATAGGAAGGGAGCTTCGAAATAAGCACTTTGTGCCAAACCCAATCGAAGGCCTTCGCAATGTCCGAACTAGCCAGCCAATGCGTCCCCCTTGGACTCTACTGCCTCCGCCTATCGATGAGTTAGGTAGACCAGAAGATCACCAAGTGATCGATCTCGACGAAAACCTTACTGGCGGTCACTCATCAGCTGGTGATCCTCAAGGTATCGCATGCAATTTAAAATGGATTCCATTATTTTGGAGAACAAGGAGGTGATGGCCATAGGCCTGTAGTTTGACGGATCTGAGCGGTCGCCTTTTTTAGGGATCGGGTGGGCGAAAGCCGTCTTCCATGATTTTGGAACTACGCCTAGGGAGTAGAAGTACTGGAAAAGACGCTTTAGAACCGGTGCTAACTCTGAAGCACACATCCTATCACAATTGGGGGATTACGTCAGGCCCACTCGACTTGTGTATGTCCAGGCAGCGAGTGCTTTGCGAATAGAGCGCTGTGTGAACACTCACAGCGCGGGATGGTCAGCGGTGTGCTCCCCCGTCATCGAGAGTCGAGTTGGACGCAAAGAAAGAGCCTAGCAGATCGGCTTTCTCCTTTGGACGACTCACTGACCCATGCCGCAAATTTTTCCAAAGGAGAACTTTGCGGCATGGGTCAGTGAGTCGTCCTCTCTGTGCAAAGATGGAAGAGATAGCTAACAGAAATTTCATTGGACAGCCCTGGCGAGAGACCAGAATGCATGGGTACCAGAAAGAAGGCGAACTAGTTTCTCGCCAATTCTGCCTATGTGCTCTGAATTTTCCTTGGCAATGACTTTTGAAGGACCTGGAGACGGAATTGTAACGGGATGTTGATGCGTCAGCCCAGGCCCGATAGCACTCCTTATAGCATAATGCTATTTTACAGGAGCGACTAAACCATGGCCGAGATCTGCCTTCGATGGGCACCACAGAGGAAGGAATAAAAAGTTCCATACCCCGAAGTACCACAGACACAGAATCAGCGACAGAATCAGCAACAACGTTGGGATCATCCGGCGAGAAGCAAGCCCGCCCCGAAGGGTAGGATGCGAAGAAAGACCACATCCTATCCCAATGGGCCGATCGTGCCAAACACGGCGGCAGCTTGCAGAATGCAACCGTGACGTTAATGTGACTGGCACCACACTTCGGACAAGCGAATTGTCCAACGAGCCTAGAGGGGCGTCGATGGAAACATGATATCCGTCCGGATGAGAGGTCAGCAGAAGGTCCAATAGGGAAGGTGTATGATCTTTCACATCTAAAAACCGCGTAGGCAGAGTAACCAGTTGTGTCAGACCATATGCCAAGGCAAAATGGCAAGGCAAGGCATGAACAGATCTCCCCGCATGATCGGTTAAACGTGAACCAAGCCATTCGGCGTGGTGGACGTTAAAATCACCGAGGATCACGATCTCTGCGGAAGGGATCTGCTGTAGTAACGAATCTGCAGCCATTTGGACGTGGTCGAAGATTAGGTCTGTTTCGGCATTACCGCTATGGGACCTATAGAAGCACCCGTAGACGCGCGGATGGTCGTCGCTGTCTACGCGTAGACAAAGGATGGACAGGTCCGAACTTTCAAGACTGCCGAGGCGTCGAGAACAGATATCGTCACTGACGTATACGCAAATTCCAGCCTGAGGCACAAATGAGTGTTCCAATTTGTAACCTAGGTAGGAGAGATACTAAGCATCAGCTGGAGAGGACACCTGTGTCTCGGTCAGAAGAAGATTTGGTGGTGCAACGCCGCAGACGTCGGAGGGCCAGCCGCCGGCTTCAGGCCCGTCAGTAGCTCCTACATCTGCAGCACCTGATTTAGGTGCTCTGATGGTGATGCTGCAGGAACAGGATCGCCGACAGGAGGAACAGGCTCGCCGACAGGAAGAACAGGTCCGTCAGTTGAAAGAGCAGCTGCAGAGCGGACAGGATGAACAGGACCGCCGACAGGAGGAACAGGTCAGTCGTTTGGAAGAGCAGCTGTGGGGCGGACAAGAAGAACAGGCCCGTCGGTTGGAAGAGCAGATGCTCCTCATGAAGGACCTTCACGCTACCTTCGGGAAGGAGATAAACGAGGGGAAGGTTAGGGTTGCTCAGCATGATAACCGCCTGTCGGAAGCTGAAACCCAAATCGCGAAAGCAGAAACCCGAATCGAGAAAGCTGAAACCCGAATCGACCAAGTGAACAATCGGGTTGACAACGTGATGGCTGATGTGAAGAAAACGCTGGATGACCTCAAACTGGGAGATGGAATTACAGCTCCCGTAGTAGCTGCAACACCTTCGCTACGTGGGTTCAAGGTGCCACCGTTCGACGCGACTTCTTCCTGGTCGGCCTACAAAATCCAGTTAGAAGCTGTTATGAAGGCGAACGGCTGGAATAAAAGTCAGGCCATGACTGCTCTCACACTAGGCCTGCGCGACCAGGCCTTAACAGTTCTGGAAGCCCTCGATGAGGAAGTGACTTATGAGCAACTCTTTGCGGCATTGGAGGCGAGATATGGCGACGGTCACCTGGAACACGTCTTTCGTGCGCAGCTTAAAGATCGCGTGCAGCGCATCAACGAAAACCTGCAGCAGTGGGCTTTAGAGGTGGAGAAGCTGGTGCGAAAAGCATACCGGTCTGTACCTGAGCTCATTGAAGGGAACCTGGAGCAGACATTCATCGACGGCATCCGCGACCTGGAAGTCGCGCACCACGAGACGCTTAAGGACGCCTTGGCCCATGAACTGGAGGTGGAAGCCGTGCGGCAGGATCATCATTCCCATCGCGTCAGGGAGGTTGCAGCAGCTACAGTTCGCGACCGCAACAAAGAATATAGCCCTAGGTGCTATGGCTGTGGGGAAAAGGGCCATCTTCGATCCAGCTGCCCTAAGCGAACCCTAGAAAGGGAAGGTGAACGATCTCAGGAGGGTATTGCGGCTAACAGCACCGCCCAGCAACAGCAGGGAAACGAGTAAAAGCAAGAACTGAGGGGCGGGTGCTGGCTGATGTTAAAAGAGCCCCAAGGATCTCGATCTCACAAACCCATGATGGGAACAGACTAATCATCAAGGGCGAGGTCAACGGAATGCCGTGTAAACTGACCATAGACACTGGAGCCTCTCGTACGGTTGTTAGTTCCCAACTTATAAGTCAGTTCCTTGGGGACTCCGCATACAACCGAGAACGCATTAATTTGGTAACAGCCACCGGTCAGCGTATACCCGTCCGTGGAGAGAAGGAGATGGAATTGAAGCTAGGCAACGTGATCTACCTGCATAATGTCATCGTGGCTGATATAATGGACGACTGCATCCTAGGCCTAGACTTTATGAGGAATAATTGTGAGATCGACGTTAAGCAAGGTGTTTTGAAATGGGGACAGGAGGAACTTTTTATGGAAGGTGTGTTACCAGGGAACGTGTACAGCATTAAGAAGAT